CCTTTTATACAGTTCAGCTCTGACCTGGCATCAGGAGATGCAGACCATGCGCGGATGCTGATAGCATCTTTCATAAGGGACATGGGTGACTGCCCTGCCTTCACATCCCAGGGACCCAATTCCTCCTTCCATAAGCATCTCAAGTATTAACCGACAGGAGGATCCCCTGAGAATTGCAGGCCTCTAGGATAGTGAAGGAGTTTGCAGATTGCACACAGCACCCATCAATCTCACAGGCAGCTCTGCTATGCTCCCTGTTTCCTGAGCTGGGCCAGTATGATTCTAGACCTCTGGGATGAAGAGGAAGTCTGTTTTCTCTGTGGTATTGGAAATGGAGAGAAAAATTCCCAAGACAGAAATTAAATGGCCCTTTCTAAAATAAGTATAGAGATCCAAAATAAAATGTCAGGCTCAAGCCAGTGATCTATTGTGGTTTTTTCATTCTTAGATGATGACATACCTGGACTAAGAATGTTTGATATCTCAATGATGTTATTTTAGGTAGGTCTAATGCAGATGGTGTGGGTGGTTAGGCTTCTCTCCTTACCTGAATTTGATGTGCCAAAAGAGCTCACAAACAGCACTGATTCAGCACAACAAACCCTTTGAAAGGGCAGAAAAAGTCTAGAAATGGCTTGTTTCCATGTGTGGTTCTCAAAAAGTCGCCTTTGGCCAGCCTGAGGTGAGGTGGCAGGGACCAGTTGCATACTGAGGGTGGAACAGAAGAGCTAGACTCATCTAGAAGTTGCCAGAAGTGAGGCATCAGTTCTGGTCATTCCTAAGAGAAGTGAGGCATCAGTTCTGGTTATTCCTAAGAGAAGAGCATCTAACCGGAAAGATCCTTTTTGTATAAATGACCTCAGGAGGATACTCTTCTTTGAATGCTGGGGACAGGGGATGGTGGAGGTGGGGACCACATGGGTTTTGAAAGCCTGTGATGGAATCCAAAGCCTATTTTCCCTACAAACAATACAAGGATACTTCAAACAGTTCATAGAAAGATTCATATTATCTTTCAACTCCATTTTTCCACAAACTTTTTGAAATATCCTCATATTCTGAGGGCAAGTTAGGTCCCCAGGAAAGTCACCAAGACCTATTTAGCTGGAAAAGATAGCCAAAATATGGCAAATTCACTATGAAAATTTCAGTGGGAGAAAATAAAACTGGGAGAAATGTACAATCCCTCTGAGCCATGCCAGATTAAATAGCTGCAATGGCAAGTGGTAATTATAACACAGGCTCTGGAGAGAGACTGTCTGAATCAGCTCACAGCTCTGCTTTTTCTGCTTTTGTGATCTGAGGCAAGTTACTTAATCATCACTGTAAAAAGCAGCTAATAACAATTCCTAGGCCACTAAATGAAGACATAGATAAAGTACCTGGAACTGTTAGTTCAAAACGCTAGTTTTAAAAGAATCTCATCATTATAGAAACCCTTATTTTCATGAGAAAATATAGTCTAAATCTCAAATTACTCATCTGCCAATTTTTGAAACCAAAACCATATTTTGTAATATCAGAGCTTGGCCCTAATGTTTTCTTACAGCAAAATATTAAGAGTACTTACTTGCCGCTGGAAGTTGAGAGTATTTTTTTTAAAAGCATACTCATGAAAAAATGCACACACACACACACACGCGCGCGCGCGCGCGCGCGGAAGAATTTAAAAATCACCTGTAATCCCATTCCCCAAGTACTGTTAATATTTTCCTATTTTCCTTCCAATCTT